TCCAAGTCAAGCGCCTTCTTTACTGGACCTTCTGCTCACGACCCATCCACAGGGCTATCAGGTTGTGGTAAGAGCCCCCCCGGGCTCGTCAGATCACTGCCTGATATCTGCCAAAGCACTACAGGCCGGGCCTCCGCGTCCAGCAGTGGTCAAGCGCCGTATCTGGCATTATGGGTCGGCAGATTGGGACGGTATGCGTGACTACTTTGCGTCCGTCCCTTGGAAGCAGCGCTGCTTCAGTGACAGGGACCTATCGGCCAGTGCCGTTGCCATTACTGAGGAGATTATAATGGGTATGGAATACTATATTCCTCATTCTGATCTCATCAGTAAGGGCACGCGTAACCTCTGGTTCAATCACGACTGTGCTGAAGCTGCTTCGCGTAAGCAAGCGGCATATCGTGCTTGGATCAGAGGTCGCGCTCTCAAGGATCCCGAGGTCGATTTACTCAAAGCAGCCTACAATTTTGCTTCCAAGGCCTGTAAGAAGGCTTACATTAGAGCGGATGCCCAGCGCGTTGCACGTGTTGGCCAGGAACTTATGACGCATCCTACAGGCTCCCGTAGCTACTGGCGTCTGGCCAAGGCCGTGCAAAAAAACTTCTGCGAGCCCTCGCTGCCACCTCTGAGATGCCCAGACGGAACACTAGCCCATAAGCCGCAGGAGAAAGCCGATTTACTGGCAAAACTCTTTGCGGCTAACTCCCGAATCGATGATTGCAATGCACTGCCACCATCATTACCTCACTGTGGCACAACGATGCCTGATATTAAAATCAGGCAGCGCGAGGTTCGTGCCGAATTGCAATCACTCGACGTCCGGAAAGCTAGTGGACCTGATGGCATCCCAGCAGTAGTACTCAAAAAATGTGCAGCGGAGTTGTCTCCCGTGCTCACGCGCTTGTACCAATGCTCGTATTCTTTGGGGCGTGTGCCGGAGACTTGGAGAGATGCTAATGTGCAACCGGTGCCCAAAAAAGGGGATCGCTCAGACCCGGCAAACTACCGGCCAATAGCAGTCACCTCAGTTTTATGTAAAGTTTAAGAAAAGGTCCTTAATAACCATCTGACCCGCTACCTAGAGGATCACTCCTTGATTAATGATCGTCAATATGGTTATAGACCGAAACGATCGACGGGTGATCTTCTAGCGTACTTAACTCATATCTGGGGTGAGGCTATCGACATGCGTGGCGAGTCGTTGGCTATCAGCCTTGACATTGCCAAGGTGTTCGACAGGGTATGGCACAAAAGCCTTCTCTCCAAGCTTCCGGCATACGGTCTGCCAGCCCAGTTCTGTTCTTGGGTGGCTGACTTCCTGCATGAGCGTAGAATTCGTGTCCTTACGGATGGTAGCAGTTCGCGGTTCATGTCAGTGAATGCCGGCGTTCCCCAGGGCTCCGTCCTATCCCCCACTCTCTTTCTGCTGCATATCAATGACTTAATTCCTCTTGGGAATATTCATTGGTATGCAGACGATAGTACAGTGCATGCGGGGTATCTCGGACAAGCAGCGGCTGGGCTGACGGTAACCAAGGAGAAACGCGAGAATCTTGTCATTGAACTCAATCAGGCTTTGGACCACATTTCCGAATGGGGTACCAGGAACTTGGTTGAGTTCAATGCCAAAAAAACTCAGGCTTGCGCTTTCACGGCAAAAACATCGTCATTCCTTCCCCTTCCATCTCTTCAGGGCACAACACTACCGCTGCAGAGCAACATTTCCATGCTCGGTATGGAAGTTCGCTCAGACCTGAATCCAAAGAACTACATCGAAACCGTGATCAAAACAGCTTCACGCAAACTCGGAGTCCTGAACAAGGTGCGGCGTTTTTTCACGCCCGATCAACTGTGCTTGTTGTACAAAACGCAAGTGCGGTCCTGCGTGGAATATTGCTCGCACCTCTGGGATGGCTCCGCCAAGTACTTGCTCGATGCTTTGGATAGGTTACAGCGACGCGCGATCCGCATCATAGGCGATGAGGAGGTGACTAAACACCTTGAGCCTCTTCAATTACGCCGTGACGTGGCGTCACTAAGCGCGTTCTATCGTCTGTACCACGGCGAGTGTTCTGAGGAGTTATTCTCTCTTATCCCACCTTCTCCTTTCCTTCAGAGGACCACGCGCGCTGGCCTACGTTGTCATCGTCTAACTGTGGCCACAATTCCAACGCGTACAAAGAAATTTGGTGACTCATTTCTTTGTCGCACTATCCGTAAATGGAATGCTCTGCCCGCTCACGTGTTCCCTCCCTCTTACAACCTGGGATCCTTTAAAAGAGGCGTGAAGAAGCAACATGCAGACCGGCAGGGTGAAGATGGCTGGTGTGGCAGGTAAAACTGCTGTATCAGCTATCGTCACGTCTGGACTTCACCTTCACTTAACATCAGGTGGGGTGGAGTCATTTGTCGGACCTATCTATAAAAAAAAAAAAAAAACAAAAGAGTAACAGCATGAAGTTGGTCGCTAAAACTTCATGCTGTTAATTTTTTGTGTTACAGTGATGCGCGCGCAATTTAAAATTTCACTCTCATCATTTTTTCATAACGCGCCTAAAGAAGTATAACTTCAAAAAAATTTCATAATTTAGACAAAGTTTCGGCTATTTTGGGAGGTAAGTAATATTTCTCTTATTCTTGTTCTTATACTTTAAAGGTTTTTTCTGCACTGATCATATTGGTGAAGCCAAGCCTGTGGGTGGCTATTTTATTTGATCAGTTAACAAAAATTATGGTAATAAAATATTCTCATTTCATAGTGTCTTTTTATTATTACTTTACTTACTTACTTTTAAACTTAATATTCATCATGTCAGCCGTACGACGCCCACTGATGATCATAGGCGTCCCCCAAGGATCTCCACACCGATCGGTCCTGCGCCACTCGCATCCATCGGTTTCCCGTGACCTTCACAAGATCGTCGGTCCACCTTGTAGGGGGCCTGCCCACTGAGCGCCGTCCGGTGCGTGGTCGCCATTCCAGAACCTTTCCGCCCCAACGGTTCTTCTTGCTACGTGTCCCGCCCACGGCCACTTCAGCAGAGCAATCGTTCGAGCGATATCGGATTCTTTTATTCTCCTACGGATTTCCTCATTTCTGATTCTATCGCGTAAGAAAACACCGAGCATCGCTCTCTCCATTGCTCGCTGTGTGACCTTGAGCTTTCTTATGAGACTCGCAGTAAAGGACCACGTCCCGCTTCCGTAGGTCATCACTGGCAATACACACTGGTCAAAGACTTTTGTCTTGAGACACTGAGGTAATTTGGACGCGAAGACTTTCCGTAGCTTCCCGGACGCTGCCCATCCGAGCTGACAGTTGGACTTACCTAACTGGACTGTCTGTCCTAGCTTAACGTAACAGTCGGCAACTTCGAATGTAGTGATTCCAATTTTAGCTGAAGCAGGTACTACATAGGCATTCGACATAATTTTCGTCATATCCATGTTCATCTTAAGACCCACTTTTTGGGAAGCTCTACTAAGATCTTCGAGCATCGTGTTAAGATCTTCCAAGGTTTCAGCCATAAGAACTACATCGTCGGCGAAACGAAGATGCGAAAGGTACTCGCCATTAATGTTAATGCCTCGTCCTTTCCAATCCAGAAGCATGAAAATATCCTCCAATGCTGCTGTGAACAGTTTCGGAGATATCTCATCTCCCTGTCTCACGCCTCGCTGCAGTTAGGTAGGATTAGTGCGCTGGTTCTGTAATCGGACTGACATAGTGGCGTTTTCGTTAAGGTACCTTAATACCTCAAATACCTGTAGTCTACTTGGCACCTTTGAAGAGACTGTAACACCGCCCAGGTCTCAATCGAAAGCTTTCTCATAGTCCACGAACGTCAAGCAAAATGGCAGATTATACTCTTCGGTCTTCTGTATAACCTGCCGCAGCATATGAATGTAGTCTATGGTACTGAAGTCTTTTCGGAAACCGGCTTGTTCGGGAGGTTGAAAACTTAATAATATAATATTTAAAATAAGGAAAGATTTGACTTTTGTCATTCAAATCTACAATTAAGTAATTATAAAAGCATAAATCAAAACTTATATTTGTTCCATAAATACTAAAAATGCGAGGTAGCTATGAACACTTTTGATTTTTTTATGAAGGACACCGAAGAAAATGCGAGTAAATTGTTTATTATTAACTCCATAAATCAGACTTAAATATGTTATATAAAGCTTATGAGTTTTATTTGTGTTATATATAACCTAACCTTTAGCTTTCTCATGTTAACAATGATATGAACGAACTCATTTTTATTAAAATCAACTAACTATTTGCCACAATTGGATTCAAAGCTTACATTTGAAACGTGGATAAGCTTTACCAAGGATATTAGATTTAAAAATCATTTTTGTGACGGTATTTTTATCTTATTAGTTTTTGCCCAGCGACTGGACATTTATTTGGCAGTAAAAACGTTTTATCCCTATTTGCCCATTTGGGTTTTTACCCTTGACCCATCTCTAATCACAACGTCGCGAGGCGCATCTTTTAAATAATTGCCAGCCTACGCCACGCGGCGCAGCGAATCGTATCTACATTCGCCGCATTCACCCGCCCCGAAGCGTCTACCCTTTTTTTTTCACTTCTGCAAGTAGTCCGATTATAACAAGATCCCAGACTATCATTATTCATTTTCGAGCGAGTGCTCGATCGAACTGCATCAATTATTTACGAAGGCTGGGCGGCAATAGTAGAGACAAGTCGCTACGGCGGCCACAGGCCTCGTGGTGTTGCGCGACTTGGAGATACACAGGTCCGCACTCGCACGCCCGCTTACCGGTGATGCACCGCAAGACGCGATGCATTGCTCTACACCGCGAGGCATCTATAGGCGCAGCGCTGCGGGGTGCAACATATTCTGAATTCTCACAATGCAATGTGTATTTTTTCGTGCAGGATTTAAAGTTATGTTATGAATCGTCTCTTGCGCGCAACGTCGCGCCGCGTCACGTCTCGGTGTGGACTGACCCTTGGTCATACTTACAGTGTTCCAAACATATAAGAGAATGTGCACTATTCCATACGCTAGCCAAACACCAAACACAAGTGGTTTATAAGTAAGTTCCAGTCTTGTAACTGCCCAACCCTTTGCCAATAATAGCAGTAGGAGCATAAATAATGTCTGAAAATTGACAGAAACATGTATTAGTTGGAATTCTTTATTATAATTAATACCTTTCCAATTTTTAAGATTGAATATAGATTAGCTAGATCATTCAAATGTAATGTAACAAATATCAAGGAATGTGGACTTTGAGTAAATTTTAAAACAGAAAATGCTTGATGTCCTGTTCCTGAGGATCCGTAACGATTTTAGTTGAGAATGCAGATTGATAGAGCTAAAGATTCCATAAAATACAGTGGTTAAATTTTTGTTCTACGACAAATATTGACGAAGTTATGACCAAATTACTCAACAAATTTTCGGATGGACGCATGGTGGCTGTGACGTCACAGAGCTCTAGCGTGCTTAGATACGCTACTGAAGTTCGACGGGAGTGAACCAAAATCGAGCTCTGTGACGCCACACGTTTTATTATTGGTTACAATTAAATTAGTTATAAAATCGCAATGAATGAACCGATTTCAATGATTTAAAAAGTATATTAATTAAAATAAAGCTTAGTAGATCATTATACTGTTGATTTTGAGTTGCTGACCTAGTAATGTACCTCATTAAACTGAAATCAGACCATTGCCTCATTTTTATTTTCTGTCAAGACACCATTATCAGGTATGTTTGACAGAAAAAATAATATTATCATGTCAATTTTGATATAAATGTATTGGAAGAAATTCTAAATTCAATTTAACTGATGAATGAATATTCATATTTCATACTTTGAAATACATCCCATCTTTTGCTGTGCCCAGCTGTCTCCATAATTCTGTTACTGAACATAAATATACAATTATTTATTTTATGTCTATGTTGGAGAGTATCAAAACTAAAATTATAATACTCACACGGCTCATTATGTCGAGTATGTCTCCAGCCACTGAGAGGTCCAAGAAACCCTCTCCATCTGCTGCAAACTTAACAGTGTGAAGTACATTAAAGCATAGAGCAATAAATTCCAGGACGAGACTGAATGTAAACAACTTGGTCACTGGATGCTTTTGGGTTCTAAAACAGACAATCATAATATTTACAAAATTATAAATTCATTGAATTCTAATTTATTTGTTTGATGAAACTTCATAAATATAACAAATAAGACATTACCTGACAGCATAAATTTGAACTGGCAACAAAATGACATAGCAAAGCCAGAACACCAAATACAGTTCCAGTGTGTTTTGTCTGTCAAATGAGAACTGATAGAGGAGTGTGTTGTAAAGAGACAAATTAGGACTTCCATTCACCAACCAAAAATCATAGTGTATGGTTTGTGAATTTTTGGTCAAAGTCTGATTATCTTTTGATGGTGCTCCCCTGTAGTGATGCCATGAACATGTCGATTCGTCCAGATAACATGCTACCATAGAGATGTACCAAAATCTGAAATGCGTATAACTCATCAGTATTTCCAGCTACAGCAAAAAAAACAACCAATAAAGAATACTCTATTTATAGCACAGTACTAGACTAACAGAAAATCTAGTTTTGGCTTCCACCTCTTAGATCAATGTCTAACACATTGATCTTAGCAGTTGGAAGCTAGACTAGGTTTTTAATTGTCAGTTGTTTACAAATATTCTATTTCTAACATAAGATGCTAAAATTTACTGAAATGTTTTCTCTTTACCTAGGCTGACCAGTATTTTCTATAACATAGGTAAATTGGTTCTTCTTTATCACATTCCATGGAGTGTCTTCATCAACACACAGTTCACTTTTGCGGCAGGGTATCCGCCTGAATAAATCTTGACCATGAGGGTTACATTTAGGATGAAAAGCTGAGTTATTCAAATTCTCGAACATCACCTGACATGCTAACTCTTTATTAGTTATATGACGACTCTTATAATAGTGTAAAAAGCTCCTTCCGTCCAATACAGCAAAAGTTATTGGATACTTGAACTGTTGGTTGGAAGTGATGTTGCCGAAAATGTAGCCATATGTTTCTTTTTGGTAATGAATATCTGTTTTTTGAAAACCAAACTTGACAAGGAACTTAAAGAAATCATTTGTAGAAAATTCACCCCTAATACGAGTTGATGTCACACCCAAAAATAATAAGCAAATCAGCACAATTACAATTTTACTGCACATTTTAATCTTGATTCTTTGAAAGATTACACGAAACTACATTTCTGAATTAGTTAACAAGGTTCTTTTAGAATATTTTTACAATGATTTAAGTCACGTAATTAGTTTATCAACAAAATTACACATCGTTGTTGTTATGTTGGAAAATCAAATCAAAATCTCTGATCCTGTTCGTAAAAATCTTGATCCTTTTTACAGGCCACCGTCCATTCCATCACAAATAAAATGTCACTGTCATGTGTCACTTCAAGGCAGTGTTACCAACTCTTACCAAAATTTTGTCTCTAAGTATTTTTTAAAATCCCCTAAATATAGAGCGTTTTCCATTTAGAAAAAAAAGTCGACACTGGTATCGATTCTGGCGTGATTCTCTAAACTTAAAACTAAATTTATAATATTTCTGTCCTTTTCATTCTGTATAGAGAATGACAAGACTACACTGTTGTCAAATTTAAGTTAAGGTTTAGAGAATCATGCTAGAATCGACACCACTGTGTTGCACTGTGTCGACGATACTATAGCAAAAACCTAATGCCAACTAAAGCTTGGTAACTTCAATACTTTTCATTAGTAACAGTGTAACAGTGTTACCAATGAAAAGTATTGAAGTTACCAAGCTTTAGTTGGCATTAGTAACAGTGTAACAGTGTTACCAATGAAAAGTATTGAAGTTACCAAGCTTTAGTTGGCATTAGGTTTTTGCTATAGTATCGTCGACACAGTGCAACACAGTGTCGACTTTTTTTTCTAAATGGAAAACGCTCATAGAATTTTATATGTATCTACTTATTACCTAGTAGTCTTGGCGAGTACTTTAATACTATATGGTAACTAGGGTCTGATGATGGAGCTGGAAGATGGCCATAGAAACTCCGTAATTAAACGACGCAACCCCATCGAGTTCGGGCTCGTCTAATTCCTTGACAAGTATCTTAGTTGGCTTGAATATGCAACTCCGACAAATTTGGGAAAAAAGTTCGTTCCGTTTGTTATGAATGTGGATATTGTCCGAAGTTTTGTTAAAACCCCTAAAAGAACCCCCAAAAAATTCCAGCCCCTAAAAAAAGTCCGTTTTAATACTTCCAGCCCCTAAATCTGGGGGCAAATCCCCTAAGTTGGGAACCGTGGGTCAGTAATAGTTATGTGACCATTTTGTGACAATGACATGCATTGGGCTCAGGCGTGCCAACTTATATCTAAAACTAACTAAAATTAGATATATAGTTGTCAAATTCAATTTGGTATTTTGTAATGACACACTGGTGTCAATTCTGGCGTGATTCTTTAGACTTAAAACTGAATTTAAGGTCAGTCTCACCTGTCGCGACGGGCTAACTTGACCAAATTGCGAAATGTAAATATAGGATAATTATGGCGACAAAATCTTGTAGTCTGTGGTGAGTAACATTAACCGATTTTCAATACTTAATCTGTGGTCCGTAACTCCGCGGTTTTTTACCTACCTCAGAAGAGTTTCTTTTCCTTTTTGACTCCGGCTGAAATGTGTGCTGTTTGCGAGATTCTGGATATGAGAGCTAAGTATCTTCCCCGAGTCAATTAATTACTATTTATTGTCTATGTGATGTGTATCATATGATTTCACGTGTCGATTGGTCGGTCGGAAGAAAGACTTACCTATATTAAGAGCAGTACAATTGTAACATAGATCGGCAATTGTACTGGCGAACGCTCGAGGGTGTTGCGCGGGATGTTAGTCTAGTGCACTTGACTGAACGTACCGGGAGGCCAAGAGAGTGTGTGCGAGGGCTGCTCGACACACCTTGGCTCCACGATGAACAAAGGAGGCTAAGAAAGTGTGTGCGAGGGCTGTTCGACATACCTTGGCTCCACGATGAACAAAGGAGGCCAAGAAGAGTGTGTGCAAGGGCTGCTCGGCACACCTTGGCTCCACGATGAACAAAGGAGGCCGAGAGAGTGTGTGCGAGGGTTGCTCGACACACCTTGGCGTCATGATCAAAGCCTTATGATAATCAAACAGGATACGCGGAAAGTGTCCTATGCCAATCATGAAATGTTATGTAAAATGAGTAGAAAATCGACGTGAATGTATATGTGAATATTGATGTGTGTGTACATATAATGTATAGGTATTAATCATGGCGAGGAAGATGCTTAGTGTCTCAACTCTGAGATTCATAGTATAATTTCTTTATACAGGTTCCTTGATGATCATGACAATTGACGATGGGAATAAATTGAACTAAGCGAAGCAGATATCTATAGCAAATTTAACACAAGACAGAATAAGGTATGAAACATTAATATAACTTGCACTAGCATAGTAACATGATTAAATAGGCTAGTTGACCCTTTTTTGGAAAAAGGTTTTAAATGGTTAATAAATGTTCTATTAGACCGAAAAAAAATGTATTGTATTTTTTTGAGACCTGAAGCTACAAATATTTAATTTTAAAATAGACTTTTCATGGACATACAAAAACGCTATCGGCCATTTTAGTCTATAGATTATGTATGCTATGACGTTGACGGTAGTAAACAAAAACTCGTAAGCACGTAGAAAATAACCTATCTGTGTTTATAATAAAAAAAACATGATTTCTGATAAATACCACGAAAACTATAGTAATTTACATTATTGTATTGTATGAGAATGTAAAAACACATCCTTGAAGACTCCAAGAAAATTGTGGATTAAAGTGCCGAAAGAAATTAATTCAATTCAATTCAATTCAATTCATTTATTGCAGACCATAATGGAGATACAAAGGTGGTAACATATAGACAAAAGTGCATTATGGACCCTGTAGTGTAGGGTATCGCAATTGCAAGAGGAGAGGACGTCTTATTCATAATTCCTTAACATTATAACATAAAATTAACCTACGCAATACCTGGTTAGAACTTGCTAAAAGTGATCCTGCAACTTTATCGACTCATAGTAAAATTTATTTTTGCGAAGATCACTTTGATGTAAGTTTGGGGATGTTTAACCGCTGCTCCCCTCTAACGGAACGGAGTAATTAAACGATGATACGTCAACTTATCAGCACTATATTTGGAAAATATTCACAATTATAAAAATACAATTTGTACGGACGAAATTTTTATCTGAAGTCTATTTTAAGAATGACAATAAAAAATTCAACAGAAAATATCAAAAAGAACATAATTATAAAACTTACTTTCTGATGTGCCAGTGCCTACAGAATGTCCATAGACACTGGCTGTATGGCGACATGGACCAACTTTTAAGCGGTGCAAAGTCGCCACACCACCCTCCTACGGAGTAAGGAAAAGCAAGGCACAAGAAAACAAAGAAAAAAAAAATAAACTACTACTTAAGTAACAAAATCATCAAATTTCTTTAACCTAACGTGTCTTCCTGTCCGGGTTTTATAGGGTTGGGTAGAGGTGGAAGCAGGTCCTGTGTCTGTAGCTTTCGGAGACGGTTGGACAGGAACTTGCTGCTGACGTGCCGGTTGTGCGGCAGCACTAGGGTGTGAGTGACCCTTGCACTCGTCGGGTTCGGCGTCGATGTGAGCAGGCTTGACTCGGTCGATGCTTACGGTGGCTTCTCTCCCGTTGACAAGAATGGTGATAACCTTGTCCTTCTTTTCCAAAACGCGATGTGGCCCAGAGTACGGTGGTTGCAGAGATCTTCGACAAGTATCGTCGCGCCAGAACACATGAGTTGCCTTGGCCATGTCTTTGAAGACGAAAAACGCAGGCTTGGTGTGACGTGATGCGGAAGTTGGCCGAATGCTGTCCATATCGAGTCTCAATTGGGACACAAAATCTGCAAAGTTTGCAGAGTTCGCTGGAGTTGGAGGAGTAACGAGAAATTCACCAGGGAGGTGAAGTGTCTCACCGTATACCAGTTTGGCAGACGAAGACTTGATGTCTTCTCTGAACGCCGTCCGCATGCCGAGCAAAACAAGTGGCAGAGCCCGGGTCCACGTTTCCGCGTGGCACATCAGGGCTGCCTTCAGTTGCCGATGAACTCGCTCCAACATGCCATTAGCACAGGGGTGGTAGCTAGTGGTGCGAACGCGTTTGGAGCCACAAAAGCGCATAAGCTCTTGGAACAAGGATGACTCAAATTGACGCCCCTGATCAGTGGTGATGAAAGTAGGTACCCCGAATCGTGCAATCCACCCCAGCATCAATTTCTCGGCAACTTCTTCCACCGTTATCGAAGACATCGGCCAAGCCTCTGGCCAACGGGTGAAACGGTCGATAGCCGTCAAGCAATAGCTGAACCCGTTGGAGAATGGAAGAGGTCCGATGATGTCGATGTGAATATGGCGGAAGCGACGACGAATTCGACCTTCCATCCGGTCGCTGTCACCTTGTTTTTCTGGCACTGAATGCAGCGCCGTGACACCTTGTTTTTCTGGCACTGAATGCAGCGCCGTGCCCACTCGCGGCAATCTCTGTTTATGTTTGGCCAAACGTAGCGCTTAGATACCAAACGAGCAGATGTTTGTGCCCCAGGGTGGCTCAAGTTGTGACAACGGTCGAAGGCGGCCCGCCGAAACTGCGGTGTTAAATAAAGTTTCGGCCGACCTGTCGACGTGTCACAAAGTAAGGTGACGTCGGTACCAGGGATCAGAATCGGTTCCAATTTCAAATTCCACGCGTCTTTCGAGTCTGCTAGCTCCTCGTCAGATTGCTGTGCCTGCGCAAGAGCTGTGTAGTCTTGCTCTAAGGAAACACCGTTAATGCAAGACATAGCATCTGCCATTACATTGTCCTCCCCTTTGATGTGTCTAATATCAGTCGTAAATTGACTGATAAATGACAGCTGGTTCAATTGGGGAGGGGGAAGTTTATCCCGGCGTTGTACGAAGGCGTACAGCAGTGGCTTGTGGTCAGTGTAAATGGTACAGTGTTCGACTTCTAAGATATGCCGGAAATGCTGTACGCTTTCATACACTGCCAAGAGTTCCCTATAATATGCAGGCCATTGCGACTGCCGAGGAGTCAGCTTTTTGCTGAAGAAGGCAAGAGGAGCCCACTCTCCGTCGGTCTTCTGCTGAAGGCAGGATCCGACATGGACACTAGAGGCGTCAGTGAAGAGGCCAAGCTCGGCACCACCCACAGGATGTTGAAGTAGAGTGGCGTCACTGAGGCTCCTTTTGCATTCTTCAAAGCGTTCCAGTAGCTCGGGTGTCCAAGGGAATGGTTTCGCACCTTTACTGTTTGTGGAGACAATGGCGTCTATTAATGGAGCCTGATATTTAGCGGCGTGCGGAATAAAACGACGATAAAAATTGATCATGCCGAGAAACCTCCGCATGCCTTGGACTGTTTGGGGTGGGGGGAAATTTAAAAGATCCTGTACACGGCTTGGTGGCGGGCGTACGCCTTCGGCGTTCACGACATACCCAAGAAACTTTACCTCTTTGGCACCAAAAGTACACTTGGAGTTGTTGATAACAACTCCACCCCATACTCCTTGAAGCGGCTGAAGAGGATCTTGAGGTGCTCCTTATGGCAGCTGCCATTAGGGGAAAAAAACAAGCACATCATCGACATAAAGAAAGCAGAAATCCAGACCCCGTGTGACCTCATCGATAAACCTCTGAAAAGTTTGACCAGCGTTTCTCAAACCAAGGGTCATAAACGGAAATTCGAAGAGGCCAAACGGGGTGGTGATGGCTTTGGCAATATCCTCTTTAGCAACTGGGATTTGATGGTATGCTTTTACCAGATCCAAGGTGCTGAATATGGTTGCCCCACTGAGGCTGTTCGCGAAGTCGTGAATGTGCCTCACCGGATACCGGTCTGGAATGGTCCTGGCGTTTAGACTGCGATAGTCACCGCAGGGACGCCTTCGTTGTCCTTCTTCAATGTCATATGAAGAGGAGAAGACCACGGACTGTCAGAAGGTCTTGCTATACCCAAGCGAACCATGTGTCGCGACGGCAACACCAGTCGCGATGTTTGAGGTGGCAACACATATCAATTGCCGCTATAACTAATGTCAATGTTAAGTAAGCCGCTCTTTTTTCTCTTCTTGTTTGTTGTGCTATTTTAACTAATATACTATTATAACCTTGTACTGTTATTTAATAACTGTTATGTGCCATAAAAATGTGCCTACCTGATGCGTGCCTGTCTACGAGCTCGAGAACCAACGGAATATAACGAAAGCTAAGTAGTAGAATAGTTCACCTAAATAATAGCCTGTTTGCATCTCATGACAAGTTTGTAAGTGTAAAAATAAGCGCTTGCCTGCGCTCTTGATATTAGCCTATGTACCTGTGTTTACCGGCACGGTAAAAAGATACTCTCTCACACCGGCGTAAGGACGTGAAACGCCTGTGTTAGTGACATAATTATAACAATATAAAAGGAGGTAAAAAGATACTCTCTCACACGGTGAAAGTACCGGCGGCGTTAAAGACGTGAAACGCCTGTGGCATTGACATAATTATAACAATATAAAAGAGGAGGGCTTGTGCTTCTGCAGGAGGCAAGTCCTAGGGTACCCTACCGAAAGACCACAAGAGAGAGTGTTATGGCATGCGCAGCGCTATGTCTGGACGGAGCTGGAATAGTGGCTGAGCCAGATGGGAGACGTTCCATAGTAGTGCCATAAGAAGTGGGCGACGCGACTCTTGCATGTGGTCGCACACATGCAAGGGTTGCGTGGGGAGCAGGCGACGGCTCTCATGCTCACACCGCTCTGCAGGAGCGTAGGACACATGGCATAAAGTCATGTTAGGAAATCTCCGCATCGTTTAGACAGCTAAAGTAGATTGTTGAGTTAACATGGGTAATTGACATATAGATGATCTTGATACTCATTTATGACAATATTTATGTGTTCTATGAATCCTGGAATCATACCGTGATGATGGTGTGACTCCGGGACTTAGTGGCACCACGCAGTGGTGTCATAATTTTATTTATACTTACAGATGGAGTAAGAAAGAGATGAGAGGCATGGACGGACATTCGCTGGTGCTTGAAGGTACATACAATATAATCTATGGTAAGTAATCACCCTTCGTCTCTCGATTCTCCCTTTGTCACGTGTCTATCGTCAAAATCTCGCGATCCACGGTGGATACGTTTGTATCACGTATATGGGCTGCATTGGCAGCCCCGCCCCCAAGAGGGTCGCGACATGGTGGAGGTGCTGGGATCATTCTAGAATGGAGTGATCCTAGAACCAGAGAGACTTTCAATAACTAAGCAGAATATCCGTGATTGAGGGGGAGACGAGTGATTGGTGGAGCGAATGTCTGTCCAGCAATTCTCTAAATGAGGTTTGTTACATAAAGATTCAATGAAAATTTTCTGTATTGATCATGAATGGGTATCCTAAAATTATTATTGTTGAGTGATCTGACTATACTGAATTGTTCATATTGATCACATCATAATATATGTTAAAAAATAAAAGGTAAATGCAAAGCCAATGTTAAAAGGCACCTGTTGAATGAGTTTCAACAATAAGGCACTGTTTAAATGAAGGTTCTGAGCTGTTTGTACATTGATAAATTGAGAGCAAATGTTAAAAGGCACCTGTTGAATGAGTTTCAACAATAAGGCACTGTTTAAATGAAGGTTCTGAGCTGTTTGTACATTGATAAATTGAGAGCAAATGTTAAAAGGCACCTGTTGAATGAGTTTCAACAATAAGGCACTGTTTCAATGAAGGTTCTGAGCTGTTTGTGCATTGATGAGTTGAGAGCAAGTGTTATAATAAGGCATCAAATATCGTTGTAAGGCACTTACGAACGAAAGTTTCGAGTTTCATACATTGATACTTACATTGACAAATTGCTATCAAATTGTTGGCATAAATAAAATCGGTTGACAGGTATCAACTGTTAGGTGGCACTAGACGTTTGTTTGCATACCAAAATGAGCAAAGTTGTATGTTGGCAACAAGCATAATGAAAAAACACAATCATTACTCTTTACGATATTTCGCAATAAAAATGTGAGATATTTCATCAAAAATTCAAATCGTAATTTATGTGCTCGAATTTCTTGTATATTACTTAACCAAATTACCCATATAACAAAATTAAAACAGAAATTGACTTGGTACGGAAACGGAAATATAAACAAAATGGTGATATTTTGTGTTGTCAACAATGCACCTTACAATTGTTAGTGTTTGGGTAAAATCTATTTATGATTAAAAATTATATGATACTTTCGTATGTGATACCATCAGATGACAAAATTTTAATAAACTTTATTAATTGGTTTATACCAATGCAAAGTCTATGACAAGGCTATACAATATAACCTTGTTACATTTTGTTGTGTTACTTATCGGAACATGTTATAGATGTAAGATATTAAAGACAATATTTTTAATAAACCGTTTTATTATTTATTTATTTTGGTACCTTAAAACTTACTCCCTAGCTTTTACAGTATGCACAATATGCTCTATTGGTCAATAGAGTATTAATTAAAATTATAACATAAATTGTTGAACCTGAAGTTACTCATTTGAGTAACTTAATGTTTCGTATTAATAATACGGTTAATTTCGATTGATTGATATAACATCTTATTATACCATTTTACTAACACCTGTGGATAAACGTATTGTAAATTGATAGATTTATAAAGGAAATTGTGTTTCATAGTAATTATCGTGCGTGTGGGAACGTTACTTTCGAAATGCGATTTTGTATCGACCTTCGATACGAAGTTGTCAGTTCCCGAAAGGGACATCACTATTTCCTTTATGAAGATACGCTCCATACACTGAGATTTGGCGCCATTAGTGAACAGTAGCACAATTTTGTAAAGAAAAACGTATTTATTAATTATTCACAGATGCAGAGAACAAAATAAAACAAAGTAATCAATTGGTGAGTATAATTACATTGTTTAATCAACAGAAATTAGGAGAAACCTTTAGTTTGGGCCACGGCGTTTTGTGAGCGGGAAGTTGGTATTTACTTCATCAAAGTTTCGTACTAAAAGTTGAGATTTGTCATGAATTTATAACTAGGTTCAGCGTCCTCATCATCTGTCCACAGGTTTCGGAATTGCTAGATAGGAATTTTGATCGATTTAAAATGTTTCAGATAAACATCAGTACATGTACTACAAGGATAATTATCTACGGATTTAGAAAGAAAGAAGGGTGAAGGTGACCGGAAGGGTTATCACCTAAAGCTTTATCAGGGCAATATAGGGTAAGAAGTTTCTTTATTTCATTGCATGATCAGTAAAAAACTCAACAAAGACATAATGTTCTTGTTTTAAATTCTGACAACAAACAACAAAACTATTTACAAACTCTTAATGATTTTATTTCGAGCTAGGTCAGGTGTAATCCAATAAGAATTCAAAGTAACAAGAATATTATTGATGTACTAATCATAAATTATTGTATTTTGTGTGTGTTTGTGCATCGGTATACTTACTTGTTTGTTGATAGTTGACACATACAGGATCCAAATTAATGATATTTTTAGTAGAAAGCTCAATGAACATAATGAATAAGTACATTAAAAGATATACTGATCCGGAGAATAGAATTTACATTTAGAAACTGCTGATGAGATTTGTTTAATCTTGTAAACAATGATGTCAGTAGCGGCAACTTATTAACCAATTTGGTTGAAAAGTACTTGTTGATTTTTCATTGAGATTTACTTGCACATGAAGAGTCACATGTTTAATGATAATGAGGGAATGAATTAATGTGTTCATCTAAATGAATAATATAAAGTTTAAGATAAACAAATCTAACTTATATAAGTTTGAACTCATTGAGATAACATGTGAATCAAAGTTATGATTGACATTATTTTATACAAATTACTAACTTAAAGTAACAACAAGACACAAAAGTATCCTTTTGTATCCTTTTTACTTAATAAAAACAAAATGCATTCTTGTTGTGATTATTTATCTCCTAAATAAATAATATAAACTAAACTACCTTATAGTGTAATATTGAATACTCAATTGAGTACCTACCTAAACTTTTAACATTTTACCAATTTCACCAAACTTTAAAGCAATATTTCACTTTGGAAAGTTTTTCTTAAACTTATTTAAACTATTGACTTTAGTTTTAACTACTTGTGTTTATGAAAGAGCAAGGCTTCTTAGTCATTCTGAGCAATTGATTTATACTTGAGTGAATTTGACCGTGTAAACCAATGAGTTGGGAATTTAAATAAAATTGTTTATTGATTGATAAACTGTGGCAATTGATTACATTTTATTGAACAATGCATACAATATAAGTGAATGAGATTTTAATAAATAAATATGAAATATATTTAAAATTATTTTCTACTGTTAAAGTTTAAACAATAGTAGTATGTAGTAATTAATGACTTATTAAATTCTCAAAATTAACATAAAAATTTAACCGAAACATATCAAATTAAGTTTGATGCTTGTGGTTAGTGACATTGTTGTTGACGCAAAAAACATTGAATTGAAATAAGGAAACAAAAGTGAATTTACCATTTTGATGGTATCATTTCAGATTTCAAAAAATAATGGAGTCCGTACTAATCTCAAGGCTTCACGATGTGATAAGGCATATTGAGGCACTTACTAGTGAATGTGAGGACCTAATGGGTACCACTAATATGGTTACTTTCAACAAGGCTAAGGCAGAAACATTATACAAAAAATTAGAGGCGTTACACACAAGATTTTCTACAGAATTAAGCAATTACACACATCAAAAGTGTCTAGGGATCAACATATATTTTTGCAATAACTTTTCTCCTGATTGATATTAATTAAAATTTTAAATAAAGTGTTTTCGTTTGTCACAGTAACGATAAACCAAGTCACCTTTGCATTAATAAAGAAATTTGCCATTTTCCTAATAAAGGGATTTTTGACATTTGAACCACTAACACAAAAGTTCGAAAAAAAGACTGAAATAACAGTTTTCTCTAAAATTTTATTGGGTAACTTAAACAATTAATAATCCGTATTTCTACCGCGAACACTAACAACACAAGAACATCGGTTTGGCATACTCAAAATGAGTTCATCCAAATCACGCTGTGGAATGGCCGCCCATGTTCGTTGCAACAACAAAAAAAGGTCTTCTTGCGACTGGATACCCTCCATATTCGGCAGAGCTCTTCTCTGTAGCATATCCCATGCATGCTCAATCGGGTTCAAGTCTGGCGACTGAGCAGGCCAGGGCAGGACATTGATGTTAGCTGCGGCGAGAGTCTGTCTTACAACTCTTGCGGTGTGCGGTCGTGCATTATCATGCATTAACTGAAATAAGGGACCGATTTGCACTTGTAGAGGAACGATGATACAATCGTCTCAGCATAAATTTGAGCGTTGAGGTTGCCTCTGATCCAAATCAACTCAGTTCTTCCGCCGATCCAAATACCCGCCCATACCATGATGGTTCCACCACTATAAGGATGGACTTCCTGGCAGGATTTTAATCGCTGTTGGCGTCCAGGGGTTCTCCAGTGTCGTATACGTCTTGTATCCGGTCTCATACCAAAACGAGACTCATCAGAAAAGCACACGAAACGCCATTGTTCTTCTGCCCAATTTCTGTGTTCAAGAGCCCATTGATATCGAATCCTACGATTGTGCATTGCTATAGGTGGTACCCGTAGCGGTCTTCGGGAATGAAGGTTCACTTCATGCAAGCGGTTTCTGACTGTTTGGTCGCTAATTAAGTTCCCTGAAGAGTGATGAAGCCTCACGGCTAACATCATGGCGGTTATTGTTGGAGCTCTTCGAGTTAAGATTTGAATGTATCGGTCTTGTCTCCGTGTGATGCAGCGATACCGTCCTCCATGGCGCTCAGCCACGGTACCAGTGCTTCGGTATCGTGTCCAAAGTCGACTGATAACACTCTGACTTGTATTCAGAGCTAAAGCCACAGTACGTTGCCGGGAACCAGCTTCTATCATTCCCACGGCTCTGAGCATTTCTTCCCTGCTTAAATGACGTCGCCGCTCCATAATAACGTTGGTTTTAATCAGTAGTAGGGAAACAGTAGCACTAATAATGTCTTCAATGCGTTGTATGTTTTTATAGGGAAAATATTGACAGCTGATTTTCATCTTTTACTCGAATTTGATTCACAGTTCCTGATTCAAATTATGAAATGCACCAAAAAGGATCCATATAAATTTATAAAATCATAAATTTATTACAAAGCCACATCTCAATCTCAAGAAATCCGCATAAAAATGCTTGATCCCTAGACACTTTTGATGTGTGTATTTTAAACTTAGTAATGACCCATCGGCGGACGATATCTCCAAATTTAGTGACATTCAACTGAAGTCTGAAGAGATCTTAATAGAACTCACTACGGAATTGAATAATCTTAAGGAAACGTCTAAAGAAACACGATTTAATAATTCTGTGGTTACCAGCAAGCTACCCAAGTTAAATCTTCCAGAATTTGATGGAAATATCCTCCTGTGGCAGCAGTTTTGGGATCATTTTTCCTCGAATATCGACGAACGTAATTTACCAGAAGTAGACAAGTTACTCTATTTAAAGTCGTCATTGAGCGGTGACGCTAAAGGAATCATCGATGGATTGGAAATTACGCACAAAAAATATCAAATTGCAGTTACCACGCTTAAAGAGCGTTACGGGAAACCTAACCAAATTATCGATGCTCACTACGCTGCCTTGTACAAAATCAAATGTGCAAGCAACACAGCTGCTGAATGTCGTAAAACGTTAAATGAAATAGAGAAACACATTAGGGTATTAGGTGCGTTAGGAGAAAATACAGAACATAATCATCTGAGATTTATCATCACTGAGAAATTTCCTGAAGATATTATTTATGAAATGAAGATTTCACTGAAATCTGATTCTATTGAGGACATGAGGAAACAACTGAAAATTATTTTTTCGGCCAGAGAAGAAGCTAGCCGAATTAAACAAGAAAGAACATCGAATAATGATAGTTATACAGTAGAGACACTTCAGGCGAGGGATAAGATAAAATCAAAACCACAACAGTTTGTACAAAGGAACTTCCGTAATAAGGAAAGACTAAACGAAATGAGAAGGAAACCGTTTGTGAATAATGTAAGAACCCTTTTACACAAAAAACAACTATCGTAATAATGGTAATAATTACCGTCCAACACCTTATTATCAAATACAAAATACATCATATGCTAATAAAAGAAAAGGAGAACATCTAAACAATAAGGACTTTGTTTCAAAACGAATCAAACTTAGACCCTGTATTTTCTGTCAACAACAACACTTGAACGACGAATGTAGAACAGTAAAAACGTTGGATCAAAGAAAGGAAAAACTAGGTCAACGATGTTACAATTGTTTCAGTCCAAACCACCAACTCAACGCTTGTTCCGTCAAAAGGAGTTGTTTCTATTGTGGAGTTATAGGAAAACACAACAAGGCTATCTGTCCTAAGCGTTATTCATACCGTGGAGGAAGACCAAGAGATAGGAATACCAATACATTTTCCACTATGACATCGACATCGACAATCTTGCAAACAGCAATAGTAAATGCCAAGAATGAAGAAGGATCAAAACTGAGAAAATGCCGAATCCTAATGGACTCTGGAAGCCAAAGGACTTACGTCACCCAACAAGTAGCTAAACAACTTAAACTACCAATAATTGAAGAACAACATCTATCAGTTTTTACATTTGGATCAAACCATCCCCATGAATATGAAAGCGCATTAGTTAAATTGCCTATTTCAACAAAGACCGAAACAACTATTATTCTGTATACTAACATTGTACCCACAATAGCTCAACAAGTTTCTTATCCTGAAAAGGAATTGAATCAATGGAAGGATAAAATTTTATTAGCCGATGATGGTTCACTTGGAGACCAGGTAGATATACTCATTGGAAACGATTACTACTTCACGATCATAAATACAGATAAAAAACAGATTGCTGACAATCTATTTTTAGTAAATTCACAACTCGGTTGGATAATAACCGGCAAAAGAGAATTCGAAGTAAAAGACAACCTTACGGTAAACACTTACTTTCAATCTAGCGCAGAAGTTAAACTAAACAAACCTGACTTGCCAATAGACAACACCAACCTAAAGAATCTATGGGAGTTAGAATGCATCGGGATCACAGATTTACCTAAAATTACTAAGGAAGAGGATGCAGTAAAAATCTTTAATGAGTCAGTTCAATATTCCGGTAAAAGATACTGT